TGCATTTATAAGTCGCTGTTACTGTGGGGCTGATGCTGCTCCCATGGTGTGGTCAGCTGCCGTGGTTTTACTGTGAATCTTGTGATGTTTTCCCCAAGCCTCAAGCTCTCTGAACTTAGCAGTTCTTTGGCAATCTCCATAGTTATTTAAGGAAGAAAGAAACATTCTTATGTTAATGGTTGCTGAGGGAAAGGCCGGAGAATATGAACTAAGGCTCGGAGGGTAAACCAGCAAGAGAAATACAAAATATACTTGGATTTTTTCAGTACGGGTCTTTTGAAGGTCTGGCCTTGTGAACGGTGAGGTTGGCATGAGGACTGCTGCCTCTGCCAGCAGCTCCGGGAGGAAGATGCTGCTGATGGCCATTACTGAGAGAGCCTTGTCAGAGCCGGGGGGGCTGGGACGGGCTTTCACGGGCAGGTTAAAGCACTGCCAGTTTTTCTCATAGCGTTGCCATGGAGGGAGAACTTCTGGATTTTGTACAGTTTTTGGATGCTGTGGCGAGAGGTGCTGTGTAAGAACAGAGAAGCCAGAAGGCTGGATAAACAGTGGGGATCTCCAGCAGGCAGACAGCTAGCTCGCCCGTAGGAAGAACAGGGATAAATGGAGGAAGCTGGAAGCTGTCTGACAAATGGATGGGACAGGAAAGGCAGGGCAGGCCTGTGTTTGCACTTCGGTTTCATGGCCTTTTTTTTTTATGATACGGTGCTGAGGTCTTTTGTTTAAACCAAGCCAGAGAGAAGCACTAAAATGTGCAGGTCACGCTTGCACGCTTAAGCACCATCCCGAAGGGCTCAAAACACTTCATTTGAACCGACGGATTTGTTTATCCGTTTCCAAATGACCATGAAGCACAAACAGGAGAGGAGGAGACCCCTGACATCCCTCCGAGCGCGGCAAGAGCCGCAGCACAAGACTGCTTAGAGAAATGGGTGCCAGGAGCCAGGGCTGAGGCGGCCGTGAGAGCAGAGCAGTGCGCAGGTCAGGCTGGGGCAGGAAGGCAGGTTGGCGGTGAGGCGAGCAGGTTTTTATCTCCTAAAAATAGGGTGGAAATGAGCATCGCTTTTTCGAGATACACGTTGCTGATAGAGAAGTGCACTTGGCTGTAGCAGCTGTGTAATTTAGGAGACTGAGTTTAAAATACGGAGCTCTAGAAAGAATGTACAAGTAGGCACACGTTCGGCTCAGCACTCACTTGGTCTCTGAGCCTTTCGGACATGTTCTTTTCAAGGTTTCTTTGTAAGCTGAGGGGGAAGAAACTCATCTTTGCATCAGCACTGAGGATTTTATGCACTTCTGAAACTCCACGAGCTGGGGCTCTAAAAAGAGCATGGTGTGTTGGGAGGCTGGGAGCAGCCTCTCCTCAAGTGCTTTGTGCTCTCTGGGACAATAACAGCAATCGGGATGGGTTTCTTAAAGTTTTCTTTTGCTTGTCCCTGTCCTGAGAGCAGTGTCTGTTATTTGGGAGCGTTTCACTGCCCAGCAGCTGCCAGGAGCCAACAGGCTCTTTCCATTGAGCGCTGCCCGAGGGGCGTTGCCAGGGCTGACGCGCTCGCTGTGCCGAGGTCCTGGCATTGCTCCGGTGCTGTGTTTGAAAATCCTCCCTTTGTCCTGTTGTTGTTCTGCCCCGCGCGAGCCCCTCGGTGGTGCCAATGTGATGCCGCCGGAGCAGGCGTGCCAGGGCTGGGGTCGCTGCCTGTGCTCCAGCCGTGCGGGGCCGACAGCTCCTCCCGTGCTCCGTGGCTAAGAAAGCACCAGGCATGTTGGGTATCTGGATGGGACACTTCCCCCCCAGGCGTTTACAGAGTATGGATTATATGCATTGGTTCTGGACTGGGACCCTCTGCTGCCAGCACGCTGTACAGCAAGCCCCTGTCCCTCGGGGGGAGCGTGTAAGGCTCGGCTGCAGCCCAGTTGGTTGAACAGCAGTTTGGCGATGAGAAGGGGTTTGGGCTTGCTGCAGCCAGCAGAGCTGCAGCTGAGGCACGAGCAGGCAGAGCTGTGACCCCGCTGTGTGCTCCTTCCCCCACCCACAGCCCAGTCCTCCTTAATGGCGTCTCCGCAGACAGAGGAATTCTTCGATCTCATCGCCAGCTCCCAGAGCAGACGGCTGGATGACCAGCGCGCCAACGTGGGCAACCTGCCAGGCCTCCGGATAACACACAACAACCTGGGGCACCTGCGTGTGGAGGGGGACGCCCAGGAGCCCGGGGATGAGTTCTTCAACATGCTCATGAAGTGTCAGGTACCGGCACGGGGCTGAGTGCGCTGCCGAGCTGGAGGGGGGATGCCAGGTTCTCCCACATGGGCAAACGCCATCCCCTGATCCCACCTGCCCTGCTGGGAGGGGCTGTGGCCAGCAGTTGCCCACCTGCAGCCCTGCGTGCCCAGGCAGGCGTTTGTCTTTGCCTCCAGATCCTCCTTTTTACCCAGTACTGAGGGCTGCTCTTTGTCACTGCTCTACAAGCCCGAGGGTGGCTGGAGAGGCACCCTGCACGCAGTGCCTCCGCCCCGGGCTGGGTCACTGCTCTTCCCTCAGGCTGGAGCCCACAGCGGGGTGCAGCCACCACTGGTCCCGCTGCCCTGCGCCCCCACAGTGGGAGCGCGTGCTCTGGCTGCCTCTCGGGCGCTGCTCCCAGCCCTTTGCTCCCGTGACAGCCCTGTCGTGTCAGTACCCGCTCCTACAGCCTGTTCTCCCGCCCTGTGCAGTCCTCCAGGATAGATGACCAGCGCTGTGCGCCGCCAGACTCCATCCCCCGTGGCCCCACCATGCCGGATGAAGACTTCTTCAGCCTCATCCAGCGCGTCCAGGCCAAACGCATGGACGAGCAGCGGGTGGATCTGGCCTCAGCCCAGGAGGAGGCAGGAGAGGAGCAGCAGAGGCCTGGTTCCAGCTAAGAACTGGGGTTTGGGTTGGGGGGGTTGTTTTGATTTCATTTGGTTTTTTAAAAAGAAAAAAAATAAGTGTAGGTGGTTTTAAACCCCAGCACTCCCGCGCTACCACAGACTTCTCCCAGGAGCCGCCCCAGGGACGCGGGGAGCTGCACCTCCGTCGCGCTGCACCTGGCTGCTGTGCAGAGGCAGTGTTACGGGAAGGCCCAGCGGACGGGGGCCGGTTTTTAAACATGGGGTTTTTTAGGACACGGGGCCACTGTAACACTGGGCACAGCACCAGGGAAGACAACTTTGGCAGCCCCTTTGCTTATCACCTAAAAATCCAGGAACTTGTGCTGTCAGCCAAAGGAGGAGCCCAGAGCGGGTAGTTAACTCCAGCTTTGAAGTCTTTTATTTCCACAACACTTGTAATTTAATGGGGGAAGGGAAGAGCACCTTTTCCGTTTTGAAGTCCTCCCATCTTGCCTGCATCATGAGGTGGACACAGAATCCTCCAGATCCTTCCCTGGAACATCTCGCTCAGCTTTGTTCTTTCTACAGGAGGAAACGAGCCCAAGTCAGAGGCTACACCGGTGCTTTTAAACCTCACCCCCACCCCAGCTGCAGTCATGGTCCCGCACCTTCAAGTTTATTCTAGGTTTGCCAAGGACTCTGCAGCGTGCCCTGTGACGCTCCCTCTGCTTCCCCAGCCGCAGTCCTGTGCAGAGCTGTGCCGGGACCGCCCGAGCAGGAGCACAGCCTTGCTCACCCTGAGCTGTAGTGGGATTTGGTTACCTCTAGAGAACAGCTGCCCGAACTGCAGGCCTGAGACGGGGCCTGTGCCTGGGAAGGGAGGAAGGAAAAGTCTCTCTGCCCATCTGTTCAGCACAAGGCAAACTCGGGCAACTCATCGCTTCTGGTGCCGCTGAGCCAGAAGTCTCGTGCAGGATTGTCCTGCGTGCAGGTGAGTGTGCCTGAGGCAGGAGCCTGCATTCGGCAACGACCTGCTTTGAGAGCCAGCAAAGTCTTCTGGCCACAGCTTGTCAGGAGAGCAAGCAAAACCACCCCCTCCTCCCTTTGTGTCCAGCAGCAGTCGGGGAGAACAGCCCTTCCCTCCCCTTGTCTCTCCCAAAACCAGTGCTGAGCCGCTCCCTGTCCCTGCAGGCCCCGGCAGAGCTGCTCTCGGCAAGGCACGATGGTTTTGCCCAATCTGCCCCCAATAAATGGAGCCTCACGAGAGCTCAGTTCCACCCCTGCACAAGTGCAAGGGTCTACATTTCCTTTCATTCCTTCCCCTGTTGGAACAGCTGGAAAAGCAAGCCCAGGGAGGAGGGGCACAGGGGTCTAACTTCAGGAGGTGGAATATTTTTTCTTTGCTTGACCGGACAGGCTATCCCGGACTTTAAACTCCAGTAATGAGTTCTGCCAAAGCAGATATGTTCCTATAGAGAACAAATCAGCACTTTCCGTTTGAAATGCATCTGATGGAAACATTTCCAACCAGCAGTTAGCTCAGTGATGCTGCTCATCGGGCATTTAACCTGCCTGCACGGACCATGGAGGCGTAGCTGCGTTCTACCAGGGAGCGCTCGCCTGCTACGCTGCTGCACGGACTGCTCGGCCGAGGCTCGGCCTCTGTCCTGGGGCTGGTCAGAGCTCTGGAGAAGGGAGAGGAGGACCTGCCCAGCCACCTACCTACTGCCCCAGCTGGTATTTGTAATGAGGAGGAAAACACTGAAGATGAAGATGACTTGATCAGCTGCAGGCTTGGGCCTGGGCAGCTCTCAGCCAGGTGGTGAACTGGAATCTGACCGTTAAGCTTTCAGAGGTGTTAATTAATTATTTGCCATATACTTGAATGTATGAGCTTATTTATTTTTTACATGTGCATTTGCTAATGTCATTTTAATGGGGAATTTCCAACCCACAGGTACTTTTTTTTCTAAAAAAATAATCTGCCAAATGAATTAATATATTAGAAATGAATACAGCTCAATGGGAAGGGGAGGGTTGTGCTTAATAAATATTTGTGTCTAAGCTTCAGCGACCAAAATTAATTTCCATTATTTCTTGGCCAGCCTGCCCACTTTGCCGACAGCAGAGCTACTGCTGGCCCAGTGGAAGGGGGCTGGTCTCTTGTGGCAGACACCACCGCGCATAAGTGTTAAAAAAAGGGTGTATGCACCCACCTACGCATCCCTTTACAGTAAGAGCACGTGGGTCTCTCAGGCAGCAGCCACCACCCCCAGCTCTAAATGCACAGCACCCACCCGCCCTGAGCATTCCCTGCCCCGAGCGATGGCCCAAGCCCAGAAGTTGCCAGGACAACGGGGCAGACATCAGCCCTGCGGCGGCCCAGAAAAGACCAGCTTTTCTCGTGGGCTTTGAGCCCTCCTGTAGGAATGCGGCCGAGCCTTTCCTTTCAGGCCCTGCCTGGGGGCTCCAGCTCAGCCCTGTCTCAGTGCCTTCTCGGCGCCTGGCCCCAAAGCTGTGTCCTGTTTCCCTGGTGGCAGCTACCAGAGGAAAAGGGCAGCGAGTGCTGTGCAAAGCCCTGGCATCAGCCGGGGTGAAGGTACTCACAAAGCAGCGGGCAGCAGCGCTAGCTCATTCCAACACAGCAGGCGTGAGCAGGCCATTAGACTTCACTAGAAACTGGGCCTGAGTGCAACAGATTTTGGATCCTGAGCCCTGTGAGAATAAATCCAAGTCACAGCTGGTCTTCCCATGCCTGGCCAAATTGTGCTGGCCACTGCCAGTCCTGATCAAAGATTAATGAAGAGCCACCAGCTCATTCTCATCAGGCATTCTCACGCCTCTTGGCGCCTGGGGCACAAGCAGCTCTGTGCTAGAAGACTCTCTGTGTGACTTGGGGCCAGAACTCTGCCCCCGGGTACACAAAGGGTAGAGGCGTAGAGTCCCAGGCACAGCTGAAATCCCTGTGTGTGAGTGACGGGCTCTCACCTGCGGTGTCCCTCGGTCCTTAGCAGCTACAGAAGGGAGCCTGTGCTCTCCAATGAAAGCGCTCGCTCGCTCTCAGTGCACCTACAAACAGAAAGAGCGCCCCTGTGAGCTGGAGGCAATGGCTAAAACCGAACGGCCAGAGCAGCTCACAGCCTGCAGTGGTTGCTGCTCTGGCTGTGCCCTGCAGCAGCAGCAGGAACAGTGCACCAGTGTCCAGCGCCAGCCCTGCCCTCTCCGGCTCTGCCGAGCCCCCCAGGCCTGCAGAGGGCAGAGCTCTCTGCCGCTGACACCCGCCGGGGGGGCGCGGGATTGCCGGGGCCCGTGCAGCACAAATGCGGAGCAATGCGCTGGTCGGCTCTGGGGAGCGGAGCTGAGCGGGGCTGCAGCTGTAAAGTGCGAGTGAGTTATGACAGCGCAGGGTGCTGTCCCTGGTGCAGCTCTGCAGGTGAAGAACAACTAAAAAATCCAGCAGAAACACAAGATACGGATCTCTCCTGCTGAGCTGTACACATGCCCTGAGAGGCACTTGTGAGCCAGGGCTGATGTCAGGCCTGGGGGGGATTTCTGTATTGCTCATCAGCCAAGTCACGTCAGGGCTGAGTCTCCGCACTTACCTCACCCCTCCCCAGAGCCTCGTGCTGTTACCGTTCCAGCCGTCATTGATCTTCATCTGGCTGGAAAGGCTCTCGGCCTGCGGAAAGGGATACGCTGGCACGCAGGCGCTGTAAACGTCAGTCTGGAGTTGGGCAGCTCTCACCAGCTCCCCTCAGCAATCTCCCGGGACCCCGCCAGGCCAGGACACAGCCAGGGGCTACGTTAACTCCTGCACAGCTCTGCAGTAAGGCCAGGCCATCCCTGCACTGGATATCCCAGACTGGGGACACAGCATAGACACATGCACATGGGGTTTTGAGTGGAGGGCTCACTTCCCCTCCCCAGGCCTCTCTTACGGCAGGACCCACCCGTGTCAAACCCTGTGCAAGCAGCACAAATACGCTGTGATTCGTTTCACAGCCCCCAGCGCCCCTGCCTCACTGCCTGCGCTGATGCTGCATGAAAAGAACCATACCTGCCCAGTCGCCGCTTCAGCGAGGCAGGCCGGTCCCCGGCGAGGCTCCCCAGCGGCTCCTCGGTACAGCTGAGCCCTCCACAGCGCACCCGAGCGTGGCAGGGTTTAGGCGCCATCTCTGCGTGGGGCGGCAGGAGGCACAGTCCTGCGCTGCGCACACAAGGCATTCATGCACGCTAGCAGCAAAAACCAGCAGGGGGTTATGTCAGGTAGCCCCAGCAAATGAGCCTCTGCGCCCCCAGCCTCCCTCATTTGGGCCTGGGCAAAGGCCTTCCCTCAGCAAATCCCCTCACCGCTCGCTTCCCAGCCCCGCAGGGCCCCCAGCTCAACCACCTTTACCAGGCACCACTGCCTTCCCGCTGAGCGTGGGCCAGAACGTCCGTAACCCCCACAGCTAACAGGCCCGACCCAGCAGGGTCCCGCACCCGCCGGATTGACTCCGGAATGTGGCTGCTCTACGACAGGCAGCTTTGCTCAGAGGCAGAAAACAAAGAGGCAAAGTATTTGCCATTTTGCAGAAGGGGTCTCGTGGGACAGGATTCAGGGGCAGGATCCACCCCTTAACTGCCACACTGAAACGCTTCAAGGAACGCGCAAAGGGCGTTACGTTGCTGTCTGCCCTGTGAATGCTACCTTGCCCCCCACCCCCCCCACCCCCAAAATCGCCACGTCTCCTCTGTCCCGCTAAGACTTACCCTGGTCGGCTGCACCTTCAGTCGCTCTCCTCCGCTCTGCCGCACCAGGCCTTCACCTCACGTCTTCCCCATCTTGACACACCTCCAGTTCAGGAGAAAGGCTGCTTCGCTTCTCCCCGCTCCCTCGTCTCTGGCTAAAGCAAGGTCTGCTGGGCTCCTCCTAAACAAAGCGTGCCCACCTCCGTCCTCTTTCACGAACAGACACGCTTCCCCGTGACACAACGTTTTCCAGAAAAGCCCGCTTCAAAAGGGAGCACAAAATTCCTCTTTTACCTGCAATCTATTAGTAGCAAAACCTTCTGTATTATACGCAAATTCCCTCACATAACCGTGACTGTCTCCCCATCCAGCTGAAAGGCCCAGGATGTTTTGTCACGAGGAGCACCGGTTTCCTGCACTGTTGCAGACTGCAGCCTCGGCACTTGGTGCCAAGGAGTCCCTCCGCCTGCCGCAGCCCTTCACCCTGCAGGTCTGCCCACTCCCTGCAATCTGCGGCCTCCTGTTCTGTCCGTGATGCTGGCCTGAACCTTCAGAGCAGCAGCAGAACCACGCTCCCTCCTCAGACCTGGGTGCTGCAGAGCCGGGCGGGCTGTCCTGCCCCCGGAATACCAGTGCCAGAGGTGCATGACTGAGGAAACACTAAAATCCAGCGAAGCCAACACGGACAGACTTTGCTACAGTTTTTACTGTAACGCGGCAAAAACCTTTCTGTAGCTGGGGCACAGTAACAGGTAAGAAAGGTAAGGAAAACAGTATTAAAGTCAGGTTGTAAGTAAGTGAGCTGTTTCCAAGGCAACGCGGATCCTGCAACAGCCGCTCTGTTCCACCCCATCAGAAGCATCGGTGCAAAGGCAGCAGAATGCCCATTCTCAGGTAAGAGGTAATGAAATACCCGCTTGTAGAGGAGTTTCTCGAACAACAGGGCCACAAAGTATTGTGGGAATATATGGACAATCCAGGGCCACAAAGTATTGTGGGAATATATGGACAATCCAGGGC